AAGCTTGCTTCTAGGACTGGAAAACTGCTAAAGGTGAGACGACTTTCTTCACCTGCAGGTTGGAAAGGCAGGTCCAGCACCGAACACATACTCAGTGACAGGAATATGGGGAATACAAAGTTGGTATGTTTAGTTCTCCAAATGTGGACAACAACTATTACTGGGTTCTTTCAGGGTGGTGAGCCTGATGTGCAAACGGTGAGCAAGATGGTTCTCAACGACTGGCAGAGGGGCAGAATTCCATTCTTTGTGAAGCCACCTAATGCAGAAGCAGGTCCCCAGGTGAGAATGTGATTTAATGCTCTATCCCTGTTTTGCAAATACAGGAATCTGTCTTGAGTATATTCACACACTTTCACTAGTATTCACTGTTGTAACTTGGGCAGTGCATGGCTCAGGTTCTGCTTTAATCTGCTATTCAGGTGGCACTCACATGAATTTGGTAAGTACACAGAGAGGACCAGGTAGCTGTGTTCTGCTTCACACTGAGCCATCTTACAGTCATCTTGCTAGCAGAAATGTCAGTAATTATCACAGCCTTCAGTGTGCTTTTTTTCCAGAGAGATAAAATCAAAATTGCTCCCATGAGACTCTGTTGCTAGAGAATGCTCTGTTTTGCAATAATGTCAGACCCAATTTTGCTATTACATTTCATTACATCCAGCCTGATGTGCTGTGCAGCAACCAAATGCGAATTGCTTTTATGATTAATCCAGAATCATTAGAACTTCTTGATTTGTTTCTAACACTTGAGGCGGAGGGGGAGTCCATTTTTTAATTGTTCTCTCTCTCTTATTTTTTTTTAACCATTGGCTCTTTTTCAGGGATTGTTTTTATGTGCAGTCATACCCATATCCTTCTGACTCCTAAAGTAATTTTTGGAATTATTTATAATGCTTTCAGACCTGTGCCGCCTTTCCCCCACCAAGAAATGAAATGAAGTGGGAACAGCTAGGATTCTGCATTTGAAGGCACTACTTGCTTAAAGATCAACTTTCTGCCCTTTCTTCTTTCCATTCCTGGAGGCTGATGCCATTTAAAAAAAAAATACATAGCAGATCCAAGATGCCTGAGACGCAAAGTGAATATTTGTGTAATAGGGAGATACTGCGTCAGACTTTGCTTGTGGCTAATATATCCTTTACACTTTCTTGTAGCCTCCTGTGTCGGAAGAAGCAGTAGCAACAAGCCAGGATAAGAGGGAGGAGAAAATCTCCGAGCCGGTAGCATCAAATGTGGAGCCAGCAGAAGAGAAAAACAACACGGATGGTGAAATTAAGCAACTTATGTCACACGTCCGGCAGAACTTTGGGAGGATTAATGTGGCGCCTGAGTTCTCAGAAGAAGACCTGGTTCCTGTAGATGTGTCAGGCTTTGAAACAGACAGCGATTCTCCTGCAGAGGAGGAGGAGGAAGAGAAGGAAAACGAGCAACAGCAAGACTCTGCAATAGAGGGGGAATCACAGTCAGCTGTGCAAGATGCCAGGGAGAGCTCCAAGGCAGTTATTAAGGCTTTGGAGGAAAAGATTGCAAAATGCAAAAAATTCCTGGATAAAGCCAAAGCCAAGAGATTCTCAGCAATAAGGTATCTAATTCTGCTCAGTGACTCATGTATTCCACAGGGGAAAAAAAAACAAAATGTGCTAATTAATGTGGTTCTGCTGTAGTTGCATTCTGTTCATGACTTGCTCTACCGGTTCCCTGTGTGTTAGATTTGCCCCCGTATTTCTAGTTTAGCTATAAATATTGCAAATCTGGATAAGCAGCAGGGCTTTTTTTGTTTTTTGAAATACTATTTATAAAGTTTTCTAGTTGCTATCCTAACCAAAAACGTTCTTGCCTTTGGAAAGCTGCTGCTTCGGCTGTGTATTACAAACCTCTTGGTACTCTAGTAGCAATAGCATTTCCTTGGATCTCTTTTTGATGTTGTGTTTGTTCTTGGTGAATATCGAGTCTGGTGTTTTACTGGAAATGCCATCTTGGTCTCCACGCTCGTGCATGTGTATCCTAGTGGATAGAGCAGGCTCCGTTTTGGCAGAGCTCCCTCCTCACAAGTCTGCACGAGTCCAGCAACCCCAGAGGGAGGAGGAGTGGAGTGTGTTTCCTAGGTGCACAGCCTGGCTTCGCTGGCAGGCTGTTAGGAGGATTTGGAGGTGCCTGTTCCTCAGAGATGGCTGCGTTTTGAACTATGACATTGTCTCATTGCGTGTTTTCTTTCTTGTAGAATCCCTAAACAGCTGAGTGAAAAAGTATTTGCAAGATCAGAACGGAAGTCTGAAGAACCCAAAGAAAACGAAGACAGAGGTAAACCAAGAGACCAAGATATAGTCCACGTCATTGGAAATCCTAAGAGCAAGAGAAGAGAGGGAGTTGGAGAGAGAGTTCATTAGTTCCTGACCGAAAATTCTTTCTCTGAAGCTATATAAATCTGTCTGCCAACTTACCTGAGGGCTTCCTGGTGGTTTTCCACTAGCCTTTTTGCAGAATGCCTCTCTCTTTAGTAAGATAATACGTTGTTATGTCAGTGAGTGAGGATAAAGTGAAGACAAATGTTGAATTCTGAACAAAATGGTGTAACTAACAGATTGGAGTCTGAGCAACTTCCATTCCACATGGTGTGGAAGGGTTTTTAGAATGGTATAAAAGCATAGAGATAAAAGCATGGTGATGGATTCCATTGTGACTTACAAGTGTCTGTGGTTTCCGTTTCCAAGTATGATTGAAGGCAAATTCAAATTCTGGCAGGATGAGAACAAGTGATTTATTTATTTATTTATTTTGCTAGGCTTGCACAGGGCTCTAAGCAGCTTGCTGCTGCAGACAGCTTTTGTAGTGAAAACTTGAGTGATTCTCTGGTAAGGAACAAGTCTGCTATTTTGGAAGGAGCTATTCTAAATTCACCAGAGCAATGCTCTGCTGAAATAGGCAGAGTGGTGACACAAGCAGTCAAGTTCTGCAAGCAGAGGGGTTTTGGAAGGTGCTGGAGTATGTGACCTGTGTTGTTTGTAGGCTGCACAGAGAAGAAGAGAAAAAGGAAAGCAGAAGAGGAGGAGGATGATGACCATTTGACTAAACAGCCCTGCAAGAAACTCACATCCAAAGAAGTAAGTGGGATCTCCTGTAGTAAAAAATGGGAGGAAGAGTAGAGCTAGCTTTTTTGCGTGGATTGCCTGATACAATTTAAGAGCTTTGAGACTTGAAATTCCATATAGTCATATGAAAGATGCTTGGTATGAAATTATATCTTATTTCCCTTAAAGTACTCTATGTACACTGAGTACCCATTGGAAGATTGCAAACACATCTGGCTATGGATAATGTGCATTTGCTCATGAGTTTTGCTAATGCTTTTTGATTTGTTTGTGTTCGCAGAGGAGACGAGCTGAGAGGCAGCAGCGCTCCAAGAAAGTTGGAGTTCGGTATTATGAAACCCACAATGTGAAAAATAAGAACAAGAACAAGAAAAAAAGTGGCTTGGAGGGACAAAGATCAAAGCACAAGAAATACAAACATAAGTAGTAACTGCTGGTTCTATTAAATTTTACATAAAACAGTTCTGGTATGCAGCATTTCTTTTATTTTTTTAATATAAAACTTATAGTTCAATTCAAAGTCTGGTTTGATTTGTCTATCATGTTTCAAGGAGCAGCATCACCTTGGATGCCTCTTGGTATCTGAATTATCTGAAGTTCTTTATGCAAATAGAGATCATGGTCTTTGCACATCACCCTCTGAAGTCAACATACATTGCATTGCCAAGTCACCTGAGATGCCCTTCAGCAGAAAGGGCACTGAGGCTGTTCAGAGCCTTTTCTGTTTGTTTGTTCCCCCCCTCAAAGTGGCTTTTACTGAGTTGTTCTACAGAGAATCATCTTCCCAGGGTTTGTGTATATCCAGCTAGTTATACAGATTCCTCAAGGAAAGATGGCATTTGCTTTTGTGGAGAAACAGTTCTTGGAGTGGCATCGTGAAGGACTTACTACTTATCCTAGCTTACAACAAAACTAAGGTTTTTGATGTGCTGTTATCACTAAGTTGCACATACACACAGGAAACAACATTTTCAAAGAAAGAATTTGAGACACACATGAGGAGGGGAAAAAAAATAAAGTTTTATTAGTATATTGCTTTGAGGGTCATAGAGCATATTAGCAGCAGGTAGGTCCCAGATGGCTTTACTGTTTAGGAGGCTGAATGCTGAAACAGCGTTGGAAGCGAATCTGTACAATTGCATGGCCTTCAGTTACCGGTGAGTGGAAATTCAGCGTAGTTTTATGAAGGCAAATCTCCTTCACTAATTGCAAACTTCTTGCTTTGACAGTTCTTCTGAGCACAGGCCGGGGGACAATAAGAAATCTACTTATTTGGTGCAATGATGCCTTCAAGTTGGGCCTGAAAACAAATGAAACAGTAAGTTAAATTAGCCTCAATCTAAAAAATAAACCCACGTTGCTGAAAAGCGATAAATTGTCTGTTATATATTCAAAGCGAGGAGCTGAGGGATGCTGCAATACTTCAAGAAAAGCAGGCCAGGGTTCTTTTCCCTTGGTTATTTCATTTCTTGCTACATGTTTTATAAATTAACATTTCATTCTTGGCATGCAGACTTGTTGCATTCTGAGAAGAAAAGAGTTGGCCTTGGTTCCATACAATGAAAGACTCATTTTTATAATGTAAAGCATTGAAAAGGAAATTAAATAAAAGCTGTTGAAACAGGGGACTGGGTTCTCTGATTTCAGGCTGGACTATGTTCGCTAAATTAAATATTTGGCTCTTCAGGGTTTGGAACACAAGCTCTGACTCCGGGACAAAAGGAACTGGAAAGAGCAAGTTTTCTCATTACTGAGACAACTTGACGCCCAATCAGGAGATCGATCAGGGAGATTCTGTGTGTGAAGCGTCCAGGACGCCCAGATCATCCTCTTTCTGCAGCAGTCCATACACAGCTGTTAAAATCTTGCTAGTTCAAGGAAGAAACAAATTCAGTGGCAACAGAGCTTTAGTCGAACATTTGCTCCATTTTATATCCTAAAACAGTTCAAGATGGCCTGAAGATTAATGGTTTAAACAAGAAAAACTGTAAGAAATAGATGAGGAAAGCAGGTTACTGTATAGGAAACTTCTGGAAGAAAGATTTAAAGTTGTTTCTGATTAATTTTTTTTAATCAAGTAATCAAGCTTTTTTTATTTTATTTTTTTCCTAAAGCAAGGAAATCTGTTTTTGTCAAACTGAAGGGGTTTTGGCTACTGAAAAAATAGTAGCTCACACAGTTACTCCTGTCCTTTGCAAATCAGTTTCAGTGATCCAAGTGTGAAAGGAGCAGCCTTTTCCCAGTGTTTAGAATCAGATCTTTACTAACCTTGAGCTGCTGATTTGTGCGTTTCAGGAACTGGACCTCTTCGGTGTGTTTCTTTTCCTCTATCTGCCGCCTTTCATTTTCACGTTTTTCAATAGCTTCACATTTAGCCTTCTGTTCATTCACTTGCTTTTCCAACTCCCGCTTTTCTTCTTCCAGCTCTGCAATCTTGGAAAAAGAGTACAGCGCCCTCGAGTTTTCTTTGTATAAATAAGCAACTTCCCCTGGAGCTAGGAGCAGACTGCAGGCCGTGCCATACTGGATATATAGCAAATTTACGGACTACAGTTAAGCCCTAGGGAGCAGGAACGTCAGCAGTTTGATGATCTTTACTGCCATCCAGTGGACATCATATAAATTATATAAAGCTTTGAGTATATAAAACGTGGTGAAGTTGCCGCCCTTACCCTCTTCTCCATGTCCGACTTGCCCTGCTCGGCCTGCAGCGCCTTGCGCATGCCGAAGGCGACGCTGCTCTCGTAGAGCGTCTGGTGGGCGGCGAGTGTCATCTGGATCTCGTCCCGCACGCGCAGCAGCAGCAGCCCCCGCTCGGCGCAGTTGATGGTGGTTTCGCGGATCAGTTCGTCTTGCGAGGACAGGGACAAGCGCCCCGTTAGGGACGCGGGGGCTGCTGCAGTTACCGCACGTCGGGCACTGCGTGGAGGCCGGGAGGGCTCCGTGGGGAGCTAGGGACACTGCGGGGGGCACAGGGGGATATTGGTGCAGCGTAGGGATGTGGGGGACATTAAGGGGATGTCCCTGTGAGGCCTGTACTGAAGCACCGGGTGTAGAGACCATGGGGCAGAGGGATAGGGCCACTGCGGTCACCGCTGCAGGTGACACTGGGGGCTATTGGCGCAGGTTAGGGATGCGGGGGCATTAAGGGGACGTCCCTGTGAGGGCTGTACTGAAGCACCGGGTGTAGAGACCATGGGGCAGAGGGATAGGGCCACTGCGGGCACCGCTGCAGGTGACACTGGGGGCTATTGGCGCAGGTTAGGGATGCGGGGGCATTAAGGGGACGTCCCTGTGAGGGCTGTACTGAAGCACCGGGTGTAGAGACCATGGGGCAGAGGGATAGGGCCACTGCGGGCACCGCTGCAGGTGACACTGGGGGCTATTGGCGCAGGTTAGGGATGCGGGGGCATTAAGGGGACGTCCCTGTGAGGGCTGTACTGAAGCACCGGGTGTAGAGACCATGGGGCAGAGGGATAGGGCCACTGCGGGCACCGCTGCAGGTGACACTGGGGGCTATTGGCGCAGGTTAGGGATGCGGGGGCATTAAGGGGACGTCCCTGTGAGGGCTGTACTGAAGCACCGGGTGTAGAGACCATGGGGCAGAGGGATAGGGCCACTGCGGGCACCGCTGCAGGTGACACTGGGGGCTATTGGCGCAGGTTAGGGATGCGGGGGCATTAAGGGGACGTCCCTGTGAGGGCTGTACTGAAGCACCGGGTGTAGAGACCATGGGGCAGAGGGATAGGGCCACTGCGGGCACCGCTGCAGGTGACACTGGGGGCTATTGGCGCAGGTTAGGGATGCGGGGGCATTAAGGGGACGTCCCTGTGAGGGCTGTACTGAAGCACCGGGTGTAGAGACCATGGGGCAGAGGGATAGGGCCACTGCGGGCACCGCTGCAGGTGACACTGGGGGCTATTGGCGCAGGTTAGGGATGCGGGGGCATTAAGGGGACGTCCCTGTGAGGGCTGTACTGAAGCACCGGGTGTAGAGACCATGGGGCAGAGGGATAGGGCCACTGCGGGCACCGCTGCAGGTGACACTGGGGGCTATTGGCGCAGGTTAGGGATGCGGGGGCATTAAGGGGACGTCCCTGTGAGGGCTGTACTGAAGCACCGGGTGTAGAGACCATGGGGCAGAGGGATAGGGCCACTGCGGGCACCGCTGCAGGTGACACTGGGGGCTATTGGCGCAGGTTAGGGATGCGGGGGCATTAAGGGGACGTCCCTGTGAGGGCTGTACTGAAGCACCGGGTGTAGAGACCATGGGGCAGAGGGATAGGGCCACTGCGGGCCCCGGCCCTCCCCGTGCTCCCCCGGGTGGCCCTCAGCCGCTTTACAGCCTGTGTCATCCCTTGAACGGGCATCAGCGAGGCCTGTTCGTTCTGCAGGGAAGTTTTCTCCTGCTTTGTGTTAAGTCAGAAGACGTCAGACTCCTCGTTTTTCACGCGTTGTTTCTCTTTAAAGTAGATTCCCTGCTTTTTCCTTCCAAGTCGGTTACCGTAAGAGGTTCTTCGTTACAGGAACGAGATGAGCATCCGCACAGAGGCAACGAGGAGCGGAGGCAGAGGAGCTCGTCCGAACAGGAACACAGGCGGGACAGAAGCGATGAGAGAGAGAGACACAGGGACCACTCGGACAGGAGGAAAAATCCCAGCGAAAGGCCCGGAGGCCGAGGCCACGAGCGAGACAGGGATGTGCAGAACATCCGCGAGCAGCAAGCGGAGAGGGAGTTTTACAACGAGAGGAGACGGGAGCATCGGGAGAAGAACGAAGCGAGCGGCGTTAGCCAGAACCCGGAACTCCGGCAGGCCGAGAATAAACCGAAAGAGCCCGTAAAAAAAGAGAAGCCAAGTTTTGAACTGTCCGGTGCCCTCCTGGAGGACGCCAACACCTTCCGGGGGGTCGTGATCAAGTACAGCGAGCCCCCCGAGGCGCGGATCCCGAAGACGCGGTGGCGCCTCTACCCGTTCAAGAACGACGAGTTCCTGCCCGTCATGTACATCCACCGGCAGAGCGCCTACCTGCTGGGCCGGCACCGGCGCATCGCCGACATCCCCATCGACCACCCGTCGTGCTCCAAGCAGCACGCCGTCTTCCAGTACCGGTGAGCCGGGAGCGCGGGGTTCGGCGCGGGGCTGCGCGGGAGCCGGGCCGGAGCCAGCGCCCACGGGGGTCGCTGGCAGTGAAGTTGTTCCAAGGAGGGGTTTCCACAAGTTGGTCCAAGGAGGGGCTTCCACAAGTTGGTCCAAGGAGGGGCTTCCACAAGTTGGTCCAAGGAGGGGTTCCCACAAGTTGGTCCAAGGAGGGGTTCCCACAAGTTGGTCCAAGGAGGGGTTCCTACAAGTTGGTCCAAGGAGGGGTTTCCACAAGTTGGTCCAAGGAGGGGTTCCCACAAGTTGGTCCAAGGAGGGGTTCCCACAAGTTGGTCCAAGGAGGGGTTCCCACAAGTTGGTCCAAGGAGGGGTTTCCACTGGATCTTTTGCAACAAGAATTGCTACTCTGCTGCAAACAGGGTTGGTCTTCTAAGGAGCAGACACCTCTCTTTTTGATAAACTTTATAGATTACTGAGTCCTATCACCCCGGGTTTTGGAAGGTGATGCAGTCTATCAGAATCCCAGTTTTAGATGTTATCGTAATCTCCCCCAGAGTCTCCTTGCTTTCTCAGGCTTGCTAACATTTCCGAAAACACAGAAAATGTTCAACCCCGCTGGTTTTGGAGTGTCTTTTGGCGCTGTTTTTGCACAAGGGGGGGTGTTAGGTGTGTCCCTGCTCTCGATCCGGTGCCTTTTGTCCCGCCAGGCTCGTGGAGTACACGCGCGCCGACGGCACCGTCGGCCGCAGAGTGAGGCCCTATATCATCGACCTCGGCTCCGGCAACGGGACCTTCCTGAACAACCAGCGGATCGAGCCGCAGCGCTACTACGAACTGAAAGAAAAGGATGTGCTCAAATTCGGCTTCAGCAGCAGGGAATACGTCCTCCTTCACGAGTCCTCGGATAAATCCGAGGCAAACACAAAGGACGATGACGAGGAGGAGGAAGAGAAGGAGGAAGAGTCAGACAGTTAACAGATGGGGAAGAAATTGGGGTGGTAAAAATATCTTTCCAATAGAACATTCATTGGGATATAAACATGGGAGCATCAAAGCACTGATGCTTCTTACTGCCTTAAAGTCCTTCTGTTGCTGGTCTGTTCTTGTAGCTTATTTGGGGGACTTAATCATCTCTGATAATTCTCCTTATCAAGAAATCCAGCGTTTTCTAAGCTTATTTCCCCTGGCAAAGAACAAAGAGCACCCGGAGTGAAAGCTACGGTGCTGGAAATATTCAACATGTGTTGAAAGACTCCTAGTAAATAATGTAAAACACAGTGGGCGTATTTAAAATTATTTTTATGAGCTGTTTTGTCATAATCCTTTGAAAATGCTACTTAACTGAAAAATTAGGTAGAAACTAGCCTGATATATTTTCTCTTACTTGATAGGATTTGCCAAATTTGTATGTCCGTTAAGAAATCTAGAGGAGTTTATCACGTTTCACTATGAAAGAGGCAGGAATGTCACAAAACCCCTCTGGTATTTGTATGTTTGGGTAGTTAGTTTGCATTGTAAAAAACTTTTCAGGGATGGGCATTTTACCGGAATACCATGGAATTCAGAGGGGAAGGGAAACGCTTCCCGGAGCTTTAGTTACAATACTGTGGTGTGGGGGGCTGAAGTCAGTATATGCCCAAATATGTTGAAACTAGATACTGAAATTGTTTTTGGATGTTGAGTATCCAGTTTGAAAGCAGAATCCTTTATTTTTTGATAACAGCGCGACCGTATAAATTTCTCCTTGTTTCTATTACCTGTAGATACCTGTTATGTGATGAGACATTTTCAACAGTTTGCACTATTTAAGTTTTCTTTATATAAAACGTTTTACTGTCATTTGTTTGAAGTATTCTTGTTTTCTGCTGTAGAAGAAAACACGTTTTAGGCGGCAGAGAAAAAAATGTAGTTAATGAAAGTACTTCTATTTTGCCTATTTTTGAATGGTTCCTTCCCGTGCTTGGCTTTCTGGTGAATGAAATGTAACGTTTTTCACTTCTTTATTCCCGTGTCCCAGGTGTCGTGCGGTCACCGTCGCTGCCGCCGGTGCTGTCTCTACGTCGGACGCCCACATCGTTGCCCCGGGTGTTTATGGTGTAATGTGGCCGTGCCCGGAGGGGTCTCAGCCCGCGGTGGGGACGGGGCCGTGTTTTGAGGGGGGTCTCGTTTCTTTAGGGGGGTTTTAATAAAGAGTTTGGAAACGGAGCCCAGGGCGCTTCTGGCCTCTCTGTCCCTTGGGACCCGCCACGGAGCTGGGAGCGGGCAGGGGGCAGAGACCGGGCCCGGCGGGGGGTCCCCAGTGCCTGGTTCCC